TGAGAAGAAGATTTGTAAAGAATTTTCCTATATATTTCTATGTAAAACATGGGTCGGCCATTGTGGCCCCACCCTACCCCCGGGGGTCATGATTTGAACAAACTTGAATTGACACTACCTGAGAATGCTTCCATATAAATATGATCAATTATGGCTTTGTTATTCTTGAGAAGAAGATTTTTAAAAAATTTTCCTATATATTTCTATGTAAAACTTTGGTCGGCCATTGTGGCCCCGCCTTATCCGCGGGGGTCATGATTTGAACAAACTTGAATCTACACTACCTGAGGATGCTTCCATATAAATATGATCAATTATGGCTTTGTTATTCTTGAGAAGAAGATTTGTAAAGAATTTTCCTATATATTTCTATGTAAAACATGGGTCAGCCATTGTGGCCCCACCCTACCCCCGGGGGTCATGATTTGAACAAACTTGAATCGACACTACCTGAGGATGGTTCCATATAAATATGATCAATTATGGCTTTCAAATTGTTATTTTTGAGAAGATTTTTAAAGAATTTTCCTACATATTTCTATGTAAAACTTGGGTCGGCCATTGTGGCCCCGCCCTACCCCCAGGGGTCATGATTTGAACAAACTTGAATCGACACTACCTGAGGATGCTTCCAAATAAATATGATCAATTATGGCTTTGTTATTCTTGAGAAGAAGATTTGTAAAGAATTTTCCTATATATTTCTATGTAAAATATTGGTCGGCCATTGTGGCCCCACCCTACCCCCGGGGGTCATGATTTGAACAAACTTGAATCGACACTACCTGAGGATGCTTCCATATAAATATGATCAATTATGGCTTTGTTATTCTTGAGAAGAAGATTTTTAAAGAATTTTCCTACATATTTCTATGTAAAACTTGGGTCGGCCATTGTGGCCCCGCCCTATCACCGGTGGTCATGATTTGAACAAACTTGAATCGACACTACCTGAGGATGCTTCCATATAAATATGATCAATTATGGCTTTGTTATTCTTGAGAAGAAGATTTTTAAAGAATTTTCCTATATATTTCTATGTAAAATTTTGGTCGGCCATTGTGGCCCCACCCTACCCCCGGGGGTCATGATTTGAACAAACTTGAATTGACACTACCTGAGGATGCTTCCATATAAATATGATCAATTATGGCTTTGTTATTCTTGAGGAGAAGATTTTTAAAGAATTTTCCTATATATTTCTATGTAAAACTTTGGTCGGCCATTGTAGCCCCGCCCAACCCCCGGGGGTCATGATTTGAACAAACTTGAATCGACACTACCTGAGGATGCTTCCATATAAATATGATCAATAATGGCTTTGTTATTCTTGAGGAGAAGATTTTTAAAGAATTTTCCTATATATTTCTATGTAAAACTTTGGTCGGCCATTGTGGCCCAGCCCTACCCCCGGGGGTCATGATTTGAACAAACTTGAATCTACACTACCTCAGGATGTTTCCCCATAAGTTTCATCTTTCCTGGCACAAAGGTTCTTGAGAAGAAGGTTTTTAAAACATACCACCATATTTTCATTAATTCCCAATTAACTCCCCTTGAATGAGGGTGTGGCCCTTCATTTGAACAAACTTGAATCCCCTTTACCCAAGGATACTTTGTGGCAAGTTTGGTTGAAATTGGCCCAGCGGTTCTTGAGAAGAAGTCGAAAATGTGAAAAGTTTACAGACAGACCAGACGGACGCCGGACAAAATGTGATCAGAAAAGCTCACTTGAGCCTTCGGCTCAGGTGAGCTAAAAAGTATGTTGTTATTGATTGTATAAATTTCAATACTCATTACATTTGCAAATGTTTGCCCTCATATAACACTATTTGAACAAGGTGTTTTTACACCTCGGTAAAACATGTTCGTCGTGTGACCATGAATTGATTTAGTCATAAGCGATCTACGTAATTTCATAGTGACGTCTTAAGTGAACGACGTGTTCAACGTATTCAAATTATATCGTTGAGTTTTGAAAAAATGAAAATCTCTTATGGATTTAAAACTTCGGTGCTATAAAACTTTTTAATAAATCAGTCACAAATGTAAATATAAGTAATAAGGTATCATGGCACATGATCAAATCTTCCATAAAGCCCTTCGAGCTTCATGGGATTTGATCACGTGACCAACCCGTTTTACATCATAGTAAAACTAAAAAAATGATACCTTATTTCTTAATCAGACTTGCATAAAAATAATTTTTCAAAGGAATTTTTGAGGTACATGTACAGTTAAAAAACGCTTCTAAGAAAGTGCTATGGATGGACAACTCTGTTCTGTTATTAAGTACATTTTACATCTATCCGCAATTCATTATATCTGTTAAATTAAATTCACAGGGCATAAAAACACTTCATTGTAAGCAGCAATTATAAGCATTTCACTGTTACGTCATTTAGCGTGGTTAACTGTATCCAACTATCCATCTAGCTCTACCTGTATGCACTTTACATCTTCAACTTTGATTCTGCCCCAGTGGACATGGATATTTCCTACAGTGAGGATCTGTCCGGTTCTATTACACTGAAGCTTGACCAGGACCATTACATCGGGACGATTCAGGTACCCCTTGATGGCCTCCTGTTGTGAAGGGTCCACCCCGTCATCAACTTCCTGTAATAGGACATCAAAGAAAAAAATTCTTGTATATTACTATGATATCAATATATTTGTAATTCTTTGTGGTCAATTCTAAATTTTATTTGTTAATGGGGATGAAATCCCATGTTGAATGTAGTCAGTAAGAACATACAGAATATTCATATAACTGATAGCTGAATAGTTATTATTTATGGTAATTAAATGAAAATTCACACATTTCATATAAAGTAACATTAATAAGTCAGTTACTAATAATAAGTAACATTAATAAGCCTAATAAGGCAGTGTAACTGCTACTTCTTATGATGATACCGGTGATTGAAATTCGTTTACTCAGTTATCACTCAACTAATGGTGATAAAATTTAAATTCAGATAGTCACAGTTGGTGTTGCAAGCTTGTTCCCTCAAAAACTGTAAAATTTTGTGTCTGTCTAATATATGTATAAAGAACAAAATTTAAAACGTATTTACACTAACGACTTGGCGTACCTTATTTGCTAGTTCAGCCATGGAGTAGGTATTGCTTTCTACAATGGTAAATCGACTAGATTTGTAGAAGAGGGCCTCTCCTTCATTAAAATAATCGTCAGTACGCTTTCTCATCCGTCCCTCGTATCCCATTCTACAAATGAAGACAATAAATATACTCAAAGAATGTTAGAACCAGGTTAGTTTCTAATCAAGATATTTCGGGAGGCATGAAACCATCAAGTTAATTGTTAACATACCGGTATTAAAAACTAGATGCTGTCATGAGACAGTAATACCCGCACTATGGTGTTTGCCTCTAAATGCACACTTCTTCATATTGGGCTTTACCAAGGAAAAAGTCAATATAATTCAATAATTTACATAATACATGTATTCATCAAATTGAGCATAATATGCTCAGGTGACCATGTAGCTGCAGATCTGGTTTTATATATTTGTCTTTGATCATAATGCTACAGATCCCCATATGCAAAAAAGGTGCAATTTACGCGCAATATTTTTTTTAGCACTTTTGGGCAGAATTTCTCCACTTTCTAGCATTAGTCAATCAACTACCTTTCACTCCCTAATTTTGGACACATTCTCTGGCCAATATGTATATTTTGTCCACCTCCCAGCCATTTATAGTAATCTCTACAGGCAATAAACTCGCTTGATGTGAATTTTCAGCAATCTAACAAATAATTTTAATCGAGTTTATCTCGAGTAGAGACGACTATAAAGGGTTGGGAGATGGATAAAATATACAGATTGATTAAATAATGTGCCTAAAATTAGGAATTGATAGGTAGTAAATTGACCGATGCTGGAAAGTGGAGAAATTCTCCCCAGAAGTGCGCAAAAAATATTGCGCCGTAAATTGCACCTTTTTTGCATTGCAGGATCTGCAGTCAAATACTAATATATAAAACCATAACGCTACAGATCTGCAGCTAGTGACCATGTGACCCATGGGCCTCCATTTATAGGTATTTCATATTCTTAATTCATTACCAGTCGGAAATTAAACTACAGAATTTAATTAATGATGTAAATTAGGTTTGATAAAGGGGGGGGGGAGGATTTTTGGCACATAATTGGAACTTTTTAAATCTATTTTCTCATATATTAACAACAAATAATATATTATTCAAATTAGTGTAAAGCGTTTTTGATGAATTTTTCAATATGTGCAAAGTTTATTTATATTTGATTAGGCAGAAACTTCTTGAAAGCTGCCATATACACAATCAATTTAATGGTCAACCCCCACCCGTCTCCCATCAACACACACACACACAAACACACCTTATTTGTCTGTTTTTGCAAATAGGCCTAGATTGCAAAGCTAAAATAAAACATCTTTTGTAAATGATAATTTTCAATTTGTTCTTGCACTATACATGTATCTAAACACCTGCATCACATTTGGCTTGCGTCACGTACCCAACTTAAGTACTAGTTTTACCATTGGCATTATCATTTTAGATTTCACTGCACGTGCAGTAGGATACTAGTGTGCATCATTGCATATATGTCGGTAGGAATTACTTTATTTTGTGTTTTAACTGGATTATATTTCATGAAGATGACAGGGCCTAAATAATAACAATCGGTAAGTACAAGTTTTGGTATAGATTTGGGTAAAATAGTCTGAAATGCAAACGGTTAGGTTAAAATTTAAAGGATCAAAGGTCATCCGATGCTACAATAGACGAATTTCACATTCTGAAGAGTTATCCCCCGTTATCAACGTTACATTCAGTTACAAGATCCAGAATTTTTTTTCTGGGAGGGACGGGGGGGGGGGGTTCCAGACCAGAATTTCCTGAGAAGCAAGAAAAAAAAGAAGTTATGGTTTGGTCTGTTTTCTAGGGTGGAGGGACACTTAGGGCATCCAAAGTCATTTTTATTTCCTCCAGTATATATTATAGTCCTGCAAATTCCGGGGGAAGGGGGGGGTGTTGAGGGGATCTCCCAATCCACTTCCCTGTCCCTGTAATGACAAATGATCATGTGACTCCTAAATAGTAGGAAACTTTTTCCATTTGACTATACATAATATTGTTTCTTGTGTTATTATGTTATGTAAATTTAATGGTATAAAGGTTATGAACCCCTAGAGGTCATCCTCACTCTCCTAATGAGCTGGAAATGTTCACAATATGACTGCCTTAAATTAAATAAAAGTGCATCAATGATAAGATTACTTGACATTTTATTCATGAATTTGTGTCAACATATCTTCCTAGAATTAGGAATGAGAATCATTCAGAGATGGACCACATTAAACTATTTGTATAAACATTTTTTTTTTTGCATACATGAACAAACAGGGGTCTGGGAAGGGGTGAGGGGAAGGATCGAGTTAATATTTCTTTACGTCTTAATGGTTGAAAACTCCTAAAATGAATGTTGACCTCAAATCTAACTTGTCCTCATTATTTTTCAAATGGTGGTGTCTCCATATGAGTGAAAAATTCCTGAGAGGGATGTTTAACAACAAACAAAATGACATAAAAACACAATATTGATTTGCGTTAAGAAATATGCAGGGGATTTTTTCCATCATAAATCTTCTTCTCAAGAACAGCAAGGGCATTCTTGTCCCCCATTTTGGGGAAAGGGAGGGGACACTAAATCTCATTTGTCTGTCAGTCTGTCCATCTTATTGACAGCTAGTATGTGCATCTGTCACAATAAATTTAACCTTGGTCATAACTTTTGAATGATAAGAGATAGTGCTTTCATATTTCACATGCACATTACCACAAAACTTTCTAAATATACTATGATTTTTTAACCCAAGTGAGACCTTGACCTTAAAGTTTTACCTACTTTCCAAAAAATAACATTTTAAATTGATCATTTTGAAAGAGAAAAGAAAGGGCATTCAGATTATACATGTTTATTACATGTGAAAAGACTTTTCTAAATATATCATGACTTTTGACTCTGTGACCTTGACCTAGAAGTTTAACCTACTTTTCAAAAATATTATATTGTATATATAACTTTTGATTCAAAAGAGATAGGACTTTCATATTTGACATGTACATTACCTGCAACAAAATGTTTCAGAGCATGCTATGATTTTTCCCCTTTGACCCAATTTTCAAAAATTGATATATGATAGGGGTGCATATTTGACACACAATCTGCCATAAATTATGGTATCTCATTCAGTAAAACACAGAAAGCAGAGGACCACAATTCTTTGAATTTGCTTGTATAATCTTGATAGATGGAACATGCTCATATAATGTAGATTCAAGTTTTTTATGCCACACCATGATTAGGAATACATGTATAGTTTTTGTCATGTCCGTCCTCCACCCTTCCATCTGTCTTTCCATCGGGCTCAAAGAAACTTTCTAGATATTTTTATCAAAGTTCATATGTTGATGCATACTGATGTAAATATCCAACTGCAGCAATATTTTTTGACTTTGACTTTTCCTTTGACCTTCACTTAACTTTTCTTTAAATTAGTGTTTAGCTTTATTTTAAAGAAACCATTCAAGTTGTGTAATGAAACTTCACATGATGATACATACTGATGTAAGCTTTACGATGCTTCACTCTTTTTTACCTTGACTTTTCCTGTGACCTTGATATCACTTTTCTAAAATTAATGTCTAGACCAGTTTTGAATAAACAATTCAAGATATATTTATCAAACCTCATATGCTGATACATACTGCTAAGAGCTATTAATACGTCAACTTATTTTGACCTTGAATTTTCCTTTGACCTTGACCTCACTTTTTAAAATATCATTTTTCGACACCATTAGTCCCCCCGGGGCAAATTCAACATTCCAAAACCTTACTGTACATCTACATGACACCACCAACCATCTCCCAAAAGATGATTAGGCTACTGTGTAAAATGTAAGAGGAGTTCAGGGAAAACAGGGCTTTTTGCATAAAAAACGTCATTTTTCGACCCCCTTTTGACCCCCTGGGCCAAAATCAAAATTCCGAAACATTGCTGCACATCTACATGACACCACCAACCATCTCCCAAAAGATGATTAGCCTACTGTGTAAAATGTAAGAGGAGTTCAGGGAAGACGGGGCTTTTTGCATAAAAAACATCATTTTTCGACCCCCATTTGACCCCCTGGGGCAAAATCAAAATCCCGAAACCTTACTGCACATCTACAGGACACCACCAACCATCTCCCAAAAGATGATTAGGCTACTGTGTAAAATGTAAGAGGAGTTCAGGGAAGACAGTGCTTTTTGCATAAAAAACATCATTTTTCGACCCCCATTTGACCCCCTGGGGCAAAATCAAAATTCTGAAACTTTACTGCACATCTACAGGACACCACCAACCATCTCCCAAAAGATGATTAGGCTACTGTGTAAAATGTAAGAGGAGTTCAGGGAAGACGGGGCTTTTTGCATAAAAAACATCATTTTTCGACCCCCATTTGACCCCCCGTGGCAAAATCAAAATTCCGAAACCTTACTGCACATCTACAGGACACCACCAACCATCTCCCAAAAGATGATTAGGCTACTGTGTAAAATGTAAGAGGAGTTCAGGGAAGACGGGGCTTTTTGCATAAAAAACATCATTTTTCGACCCCCATTTGACCCCCTGGGGCAAAATCAAAATTCCGAAACCTTACTGCACATCTACATGACACCATCAACCATCTCCCAAAAGATGATTAGGCTACTGTGTAAAATGTAAGAGGAGTTCAGGGAAGACTGGGCTTTTTGCATAAAAAACGTCATTTTTCGACCCCCATTTGACCCCCCAGGGCAAAATCAAAATACCGAAACCTTACTGAACATCTACATGACACCATCAACCATCTCCCAAAAGATGATTAGGCTACTGTGTAAAATGTAAGAGGAGTTCAGGGAAGACGGGGCTTTTTGCATAAAAAACGTCATTTTTCGACCCCCATTTGACCCCCCGGGGCAAAATCAAAATTCCGAAACCTTACTGCACATCTACAGGACACCACCAACCATCTCCCAAAAGATGATTAGGTTACTGTGTAAAATGTAAGAGGAGTTCATGGAAGACGGGGCTTTTTGCATAAAAAACATCATTTTTCGACCCCCATTTGACCCCCTGGGGCAAAATCAAAATTCCGAAACCTTACTGCACATCTACATGACACCATCAACCATCTCCCAAAAGATGATTAGGCTACTGTGTAAAATGTAAGAGGAGTTCAGGGAAAACGGGGCTTTTTGCATAAAAAACGTCATTTTTCGACCCCCATTTGACCCCCCGGGGCAAAATCAAAATTCCGAAACCTTACTGCACATCTACATGACACCATCAACCATCTCCCAAAAGATGATTAGGCTACTGTGTAAAATGTAAGAGGAGTTCAGGGAAGACGGGGCTTTTTGCATAAAAAACGTCATTTTTCGACCCCCATTTGACCCCCCGGGGCAAAATCAAAATTCCGAAACCTTATTGCACATCTACATGACAACACCAACCATCTTCCAAAAGATGATTAGCCTACTGTGTAAAATGTAAGAGGAGTTCAGGGAAGACGGGGCTTTTTGCATAAAAAACATCATTTTTCGACCCCCATTTGACTCCCCAAGGCAAAATCAAAATTCCGAAACCTTACTGCACATCTACATGACACCACCAACCATCTCCCAAAAGATGATTAGGCTACTGTGTAAAATGTAAGAGGAGTTCAGGGAAGACGGGGCTTTTTGCATAAAAAACGTCATTTTTCGACCCCCATTTGACCCCCCGGGGCAAAATCAAAATTCCGAAACCTTACTGCACATCTACAGGACACCACCAACCATCTCCCAAAAGATGATTAGCCTACTGTGTAAAATGTAAGAGGAGTTCAGGGAAGACGGGGCTTTTTGCATAAAAAACGTCATTTTTCGACCCCCATTTGACCCCCCGGGGCAAAATCAAAATTCCGAAACCTTACTGCACATCTACATGACACCACCAACCATCTCCCAAAAGATGATTAGGCTACTGTGTAAAATGTAAGAGGAGTTCAGGGAAGAAAAGTGTGACAGACGGACGGACGGACGGACGGACGGACGGACGGACATGAGTAACAACAATATACCCGAACTTTCTTTAGAAAGTGCGGGTATAAAAACAGCAAATGAAATGTTTCATAATGCAAAAAAAACAACAACAACAACAACAAACAAACAAACAGAAGAAAAAAAAACTCCGAAGGATAGTCATTTCATTTCTACTTTGCTTTTATCCCAAAAAACACCTTAAGTTTGCAGAAAAAATGGGTTTTGCATATATTTTTTTCTTTAGTTGTCAATCAAACAATCACATAATAAATGACTGTAAAGCAACTATTATCAATGATTTGTTGCTTAATATCAATCCACGACGATTAATTTTTATGATTAAGGAAATATTCTTTAGGGTCAAATATAAAGCAAAAATTGTTTTGCGAATTTAAGTAGGTCGTGATACTCGCTGATATTTCTCTCATGCAAATAAAAGCTTTTTTACAGTAATTGTAATTAAATTCAAAACTCACTCTTTCATAGCTGCCATCAGTTTGTCATTATAAAACCCTGGTTCCACCTCTTGAAGACAGACGATATCCCCATCCAGGTACCTCAGCTCCTGCAGCACTTTCTGGTATCGGTGGTCAGCGGCCAAAAACTGGGGTTCTGTAAAACTGTAATCACCTCTCTCTAGATGGCACTGGGCAAGAATATTGTAACTAACTACACTAAACTGTTTAGCAGGGTCTGTTATATCATCTTGGAAAGCTGGATTTTTTATGAACCTCCTGTTGAAGACCCAGTCTTGCTTGTCTGGATTTGATACTGGTAATTGTTCATTGACTTCACTATTTACTGATTGCACTATTTGTTGAATTTCCTCTGTCTGGTTTGGTTGTACCATAATTGCCTCTTGAACTATTTCCTGTAAAGGAGTGCTACTTTCTTCCTGAATA